ACCAGACTTGGCTCCGTCTGATTACTATTTTTTGCATCGATGGGACATGCACTTGCTCAGCAGCGCTTCACTTCTTACGAAGATGTACGAAAATGGCTAGATGATTGGTTTTGCTCAGAAGAACAACACTTTTTTTGACGTGGCATCCACAAATTGTCAGACAGGTGAGAAAAATGTATAGCTATCGATGGGCAATACTTCGAATAAAATATTTTGTATCATTTTCATGCAATAAACGTGTATTTTCTATTAAAAAATTCCGGTTTCATATTTACATACTGGTATACTTGTACCAGTAATAGTTCTGCAGTTCCTGTTAAGTTTCATAAATATTTCCGCTGATTTAGCTAAAAAAAATTGAAAAGTAGAAATATGAGATACTAACTCCGCGTGGCATCCCTTAAGGGGATGCTGGAGGGACTCAATTATCGACATTGTAGTTTGATCAAAATCTCCGAATTGACTAAATGGAATAAAAAATCTCTTTACAGGATTAAAGTAAACGCAAAAAAGGTAAAAAATTAAAAAAAATTTTTTTTATTTTACCATAAAATCCTGACATGGTGCAGTGGATTTTATGATAAAATAAAAAAAAGTTAAAAAAATTTACTTTTTTTCAATTTTAGTATAACATCCGCTGCACCATATCAGGATTTTGCGTTTACTTTAATCCTGTAAAAGGATTTTTTATTCCGCTTAGTCAATTCAAAGATTTTTATCAAACTGCAACGACAATAATTTGATCCCTCCAGCATCCCTTTAAGGCAATGCTAAAGCCTCCTGTTTTACCAAATTTCCATTCGGTGAAAAATCTCCGTATTGGATGTACGGATTGCAAAAGTATTATTACTCAAATTAAAGTACGCACAAACAGGACCTCAGCTGCACCGGATTTCAGAGAAAATCGAAAAAAAGTTTAAAATTCGTTAAAAATTCACTTACTTTTGGCTCGAACAGCTGTCACCTCAGATATATATTTGCTTGATATAAAAGTTTTAGAGTCCATATCTTGAAAATAAGCGTGCAGCTGAGGTCACATTATTGAAACGAACGATACCGAGTTTGTAGAACTAAGATTGAAAGCCTAGAAAAGAAATATTTCCACCGAATAGAAAATAAATGTATACAGGTGCTTTGCGAAGACTGGGACTGTCAATAGAGCGGAAATTCCGTGTAGCAGTAGTTGCGCGGTCTTGCGATAGATAGTGCTGGCATATGTTAGATAAGAACAGATGTATGCGTTTGAGTAAGACAGAATGATATATATTATATAATATAATGTAAAAGCTGAATCAAAGATGTCACCTAAGACGATATACATGATAACTAGTACTGCGAAAGTACAGCGTATGATTGCCTAACCTGAAAATAGTCGTTATAACATTAAAATTAAATATTAGACAGTAACTGACTGGATGTTCAGTTGAACTGCATAAATTTCTATCAGGACCATATATATTGAACAGATATATCATAGCTGTACATCCACGATTATACAAGTGTTCATGGATTATCGAAGTGCAGCGGTTTCCAGACGATTTTAGAAGTCAAGCATAGTGAATGGCGGTATGGGCAATCGGATGGGTGATCTTCGAAGTACTATGAAATTAGTTCCCGAATTCAGGGAAAAACTTTTTTTTTATTATATTTATTTTATGATGTGTATTCTGGAATAAAATATTAATGAATAATAATACTCATTTTAGCAATAAAACTATAAAATTAATTAATTTTAGTAACATGCGTACCTAAGGCGTACCAAAAGTACGGTGTACCGGTACTGTACCCTTTAGGTACGATATCGGCATACATAGGGCCGTGCAGGTAAATCCGGAATTTTTGTGAGTTGTCGTTCTCGAATTTAGTTGGCAGCATTGGAGTATTTCCGCCCACCCTGTTGAGGTTAATCAACGAGAAAACACCGCAGTATAAACACACAGTAACCCGTTCCGCGATAAGCCGAGAACAAAACCGAAGAGCAGTCATACTCAAGTCGCTCCGCGCCGGAAAATCGCCGTCAAAGATCATAGCGTGGTTTGGATACAAAAAAATCCGAGTTTACGAAATTTCTAAAAAATTTCGAGAAGCTGATAATCAGGGGGCGATAACTTTGAAGCGGGCAAGTCACAGTAAGCGATCAGACCGGAAAAGAGGCCCCAATTTTGTCAATCTGAAAACGATGATCAAACGTGATCCTGGACGCAGCATGGGTGACCTGGCGAAGAAAACAAACGTGTCAAAATCAACAATCAGTCGAGCAGTGCGTAATGATCTGCAGATGAAATCTTTTGTCCTAAAGCAACGTCAGTTGTTGACTGAGCAGAACAAAGCGGACAGAAAGACCAAGTGCCAGACTTTGCTGAACGACATGAAGCACGTTAGCGCTGGCTTTTTGAGGTTCTTTTCGGACGAAAAGAACTTCATCCAGGACCGTAAGATGAATCGTCAAAATGATCGATGGATTTGCGAGGATGTTTCAGAAATTCCTATCGTCATGCACACGAAATTTCCTTCGTCTGCGATGGTTCTGGGTAAGCAGCGAGGGAGATGTCATGCCGCCGCATTTCTTCGAGGAGGGTCTTCGGGTCAATGCTGATGAATACATTCAGGTCTTGGAGGCTATTGTGAAACCCTGGATGGTCAAGGTTGCCGCTGGGAGAAATTATGTCTTCCAACAAGACTCAGCACCTGCCCACAAGGCGAAGAAAACTCAAGATTGGCTCACGAGCAACGTGCCCCACCACTGGTCTCCCGATTTGTGGCCCCCATCTAGCCTAGACTGCAATCCCCTTGACTACTATGGGGCGTGGTTGAGGTAAAGGTAAATGCAACGTTTCACAATAAGGCTGCTCTAAAAGCCTCCATTAAGGTCCAGTTTCACAACTCACAGTTAACTCTTAACCGAGGTTCAATTTATTTATCATCTCTTTCCGATTCTAGAATTGGAAAGAGACAATGAATAAATTGAACCTCGCGGTTAAGAGTCAACCGTGAGTTGTGGAACCTAAGAAGGTGATTACCAATATGGACAAGGAGTTGGAGCGCGCGTACAGTTCATTCAGGTCCAGGCTGGAACGAGTCGTGGCCACTGATGGAGGATACATTGAATAATTTAATTACATTATTTGCTGGACATATACTAAGTTTTGTACAAATAAATTAATTTTATCCTTGTATTTTCATGATTTTTCTTATGGGTCACATTTTCCGGATTTACTTGCACGGCCCTGTACGCCGTACGTTCACTGTACCAATACCGTGGAGGTATTTTGCTATCCGCAGAGAGTTGAAGGTGAGAGTTGTGCGCCCCTTTACAGGGGGGGGGGGGGGTGAGAGAGTCGAAGGTGAAAACCACCTAAAACTTGTTGGAGGTCTTTCATGATCATGACCTTGACGACAATGACGACAAGACAATCCCCGACAAGACAGTGCACGACTATCAAACATATTCTGAAGCAGAGAATTTTCGTGTTATATGGTTGAACTTTTTTTGTTAATAACTTTTTAACGAATAACGAGAGACGGTTCAAACTTGTTGGAGGTTACTCAGGGTCATGACCTTGACAACATATGTTTTAAAGCAAAATATATTTTAAAGCAGAGAATTTTTGTTTCGTGTAGATACTATAGAAAAGAGATTTTATTTTTTGAACTTTTTTTGTTAATAACTTTTTAACGAAGGACGACCGACGGCTAAAATTTGTTCAAGGTCACTCGGAGTCATGACCTTGACAACATATGTTGTCGTACATATGAGCCGACTCGAAAACAATGATGGGCTGTGTGGGAATTATTCTCACATGGGAATGTTCAATGCGTAAGCTGACGTCACAATCACGTTTCAGCAGCTTTCGCAGACGTATCTGAATTCTGAAACCGTTAGCCGTTAGGTGCCCGTGCAGACCGTGCCCCGTAAAGAGTTCTAAGTCTTTACGAATTTTCGTGCATTTTTTGCAAGAGGTAGGTAATCTTTGTGTAACAAAAAGCAAAAATAAACAAATGCGCAATAGAAAATTATGATAATATAAGTTTGTTCGCGTCATAATAAATCAGCTGCAGACGTAAAAAATAACAAACAAATACATTTCTTTATTATTATTTGTATTAACTATTTACTCTATTTGTTTAAAGGAACTTTCTTCTGTTTGTAACTCCCTTCATATTTCCTTTCTTGCTAGAGGCCTAACGATACCTCAGATCTTACCAAGATACATACATTACTGAGCAGCCATAGCGTTTGCTTAGTGCGCATGCGTTACTTTATTCCCACACAGCCCATTACTGCTCGAAAATCGGACGAAATGTGCATTTCGTGCCGAGCTCAGGGCCTCCCAACTCCCCTCTTGTAAACGCGGTACCACCGTTAGTGGCGTCCTCAGCTTATGACACCCGGAAAAACAGAACTAATATTCAATATGGCCGTTATATATATAGGTTGTCATGGCATATATATATCATATATAGGGTGTCTGATCCAGTTTGATCACCCGCAATCACCCGCAATCAGGATGCACTACAAGATCAAGCGTTTTATTCCGAATCTACCGAAATCGGTAGATTTCTCGTTTATTGGGAACATATTTGAAAAATTATTATGTTTTACCCATTTTTTACATTTTTATTTGTAGCACGTTCAACCTTCGAAAAGTAATAGGCCTAAAAAATCTAACGTATAAATTATATAACTCTGTTAATACAATTTATTCCTACAATATTGGCCCAATAGGGTAACTCCAG